GAGAGAGAGAGAGAGAGAGAAACACACCAGCCCACCTGCGCCCGTTGGATTTTGGAACGGGCTGCAGTGGTTGCCTGTGCGCCTGAACCTGGCGCTGAAAGCGTCCGGGTACGGGCGCAGGGCAAAGGGGGAAAAATAGACCCTGTTGAGCTTGACGCTAGTTCGACTCTGTGAAAGGACTTGGGGGAGGGACGTGCTCGTTCGTTTTTCGAACGACGAGCTGTCCCTGCTTAAAAAAAAAACAAGGGGGAAAAAGGAAAAAAAAAGAAGTTGGAAAAAGAAAAAAAAACGGCCGCGGATCTAGTCGGGGCCTCGGTCCAGATGCAAGTTTAGAAGCATCAGGACTGAGAATTGACAGCAGACTGTTGGTTTCAACAGTCTGCTCAGAAATGGCTGAGTACAACCATTCCTGGGCTGCGTCTGGCCGCGGGTGAGGGCCAAATACATTTCCAGTGGCCAGAACCCAGTTCCCCTAGAGGAACAACAGGCTTTGTGGCCCTTGATCGCGTTTTACATCAAGGGCCAGGCCTCATTCCGAGTTCTGCCTGTGGGCAAAGCAGCTGCCCACATGCTCTCGGCTGGCTATTAAAGCCAACATTCCACCCAGCAGCCTCACAAGTTGTGGCAGTGTTGTTGAGGCATTCACTTGAGTGAATGCTGGCTGGCTGCTGCTGTGGGGGGGTGCTGTTGGTGGAGGTCTGCAGTGGGTGAGGAGAGAGTTGAGGAGGAAACTGCTGAGGGGGAGGGCCATAGCTGTGAAGCACAGCCATAGCCGCCATCTCAGTGGTAGAGGGGAAATGCTGCACGATCTGCACGGCGACTGGAGTTCTGAAGTATAGGGGAGGTGCTGTTCATTCAGCGTGGCGACGACAGCGAGTTTATCTACGGTAGTGCGGAAGCGCTGCCGAAATTTTGCGGCGGCGGCTATGCTTTTTCGGCGTTGACGCGGAAGCGCTGCTGAAATTTTGCGGCGGCGGCTATGCTTTTTCGGCGGTGACGCAGAAGCGTTGCCGAAATTTTGCGGCGGCAGCTGGGTTTTTCAGCGGTGGCGCGGAAGCGCTGCCGAAATTTTGCGGCAGCAACGGTGTTCCTTCTAGTGGTGGTGTGAATGTGCTGTCCGGTTTTCACGGCACCAACGACAATTTTGAGAAGTGTCGTCAAGAGGGGGTGTATTTTGAGGCGGTGTTGACATTGTGCTGTCCACATATTACAGCGGTGACGCCTCGACACAGTGGTGGCGTGGTGGTACGGGTAGCCAGTGGTGACAGCGCTGAGGCACGGAGGGGATTGTGTGTCAGTGGGCGATCCTTGAGGGAGTGGTGTGGATCACTTTTCTGACAGTCTACTGCGGCGATCTTCTCAGTTGGAGTGTGGTTTATACGACTTTCTTGAGTGGGACGTTTGCTATCTTTGGTTCAGCTTCACTCAAGGTCAGTTAGCCTGACTCAGTCCTCTTCACACCTGTGTGAACCCACACTTGCTTGACCCTGTTCTTTGAATGTTCACTGAAAAGGTAGAGGAAGCTGTGTTTTATTCGCACGTGTGAGTGAAAGTCTGACATGAGTTTGAGACTGCATTGTTTTCTTTTGAACTTGTTGTTTGATCTGATGTGCAGGTAAGTAGAAGGATGCTTGAAAAATGGAGATTTAATCATGTCAGCGAAAGAGAATAGGATAATGATTGTTTTCTATTTTTTGCTTGCATGCATGTTGAGAGGATGGAAAGACAGCAGACGACGAGAAACGGAGCGATCACATAAAGGGGAAGAAGTGAATTGGACATAGATTTTTCCCTGGGGTTGCCCATTCTTTCCCGAATGACCCTCCTCGTCTATGCCCTTCCATCTGAATGTTTTTCTTCTCTATGATCCCTTTCTTCGTCTAGGTTCGCCCTTGACGTTAGGCGATAAAGGGCTGACCGTTTGCTGTGGTAAGTGCATTTCCTTTCCCTATGAGGCATCTGAGGCGGGGGTTTGTTGCCTTAGGGGCCGACACTGTTAACGACTCGGAGTGGACCGCTTGGGCGGGGGGATACCATGCTGTCGTGGTGGAGCCAGCCCGACTTCTGAGATCCGGGTTTCGCCCGGGCGAGGACGAGGGGTATCCCAGACCACCTCCTAGGGGATGGACGTGTGCTAGTCATAGAAGGCGTTAAGTTCTCGACGGCTCACGTTAAGAAGAACTGCTATAGTTTACCCTTCTAGTGGCCGTCTTAGGAGCCACAGATAAGTGAGGAGCTGGCGCCATAGGAAGCCCAGTACGTGCGATCACTAGCTATGGACGGAGTGCGACTAGGCACTACCTTCGCGGATAGGGTTGCACCATAAGAAGTGCAAGCCTGGGACGATCAGACGAGTTGACGGAAAAAATGTAACTAAAGCATTGCCTTGAATATCTTTATATCGCAGACTGGTAGTTCATCATCCGTGAGACAGAAAAAGTAATCATTGCTCAGGAGGACGAAGCGACCAACAAAATTTGAAAATGGATCCTTGACCTTAATGAGGCAGTCAACATTCGGCCGTTCAAGTCGAGTACTGACTTGTATAGTGGTAGCCGGACGACTTGCAAATGACATTCACACCAAAGTTGGAAAGGTAGTGATGTCATCGCGAGAACAGTGTGATCCTAGCTCTACTTGAGGGTTGGGATGTCCGCATTTCCTTGCTTGCAGTCAGCATGCGGTGGAATGAAAGAACTCGGCAACGCATCTCATCGAGTCGGAAAAAGTCGTGACAGTCCAACCGTCTGACAAGTAGAGTGTAGATACTTTAGTCGGATGTCATTTGAGCTTCGCATCGTGTATAAGTCATGCTTTGTCCTTTTGTTGATAAGTGAGGTCCGAAGGCGAGTCAACTCATGTGTCTCGTCGTTGGATGAAAGTCAAATCAACCCTTGTCAAATTGAACGGGGCGAGTGGTATGCATGGCTGTTATATATAAGTTGATCTCAGAATATATGTCAACTTACGTTGACCTGAGTCTTCTTTTGATGTTTAAATTTTTATTGTCTTTGGAAGAAGGGACTAGGATTGATTGAGGTTTTCTTACACTTGGAATATCACGTCCTAGTCGACCGACGTCGTTCCGATTGATGGGAGATCAGCGCCCCAGGGACGGGCGGCGTTCGGGTCCACTTGGCGTTTAACCATGCGTACCTATGCTACAGCGAACGAGCAAACGCCCTCGGCCGGCCTACCTCTGCAATTGCATAATAAAAACTTTCGTATGTGGGTCGGTAGCTCGGTAGGGATACGCCCCTAAGGGTGGTGACAGCCCCTTACGGAAGGTAAGTTGTGCCCCGCGAGAACCTGTCCTGTCATAGGGGACCACGGGATGTACAGCTGGCGCACTCGGCCGGAGCGGCAAAGGGTCGACGCGGGTTACCGTGTCGTCCCCGAGTTGTCTCTAAAAAGTTGAAAGCCTAAGTTTCTCCTTCGTGACGCGGCTGGGAGGGCCCTCGCTCGCGCGGGGGCCGATGCGCTCGACACCGTTTCTCCGTCATTGCGCAGGTGGTGGTGGACCTGGATCTGCACGTGCTTGACGTGTTCGTTGCATATCCGGGGAGCTGCCACGGCATTAGGGTGATCCAACTGTCAAGTCTATCGAGGCGCGCGAAAGAGGGATTGCTGTTTCGTGGGCCGCCTGTCACGCTGCCCGGAGGGGTGAGGACGAATGGATACATCTTGGGTGACAACGGATATCGTCCTTCTAAATGGGTAGTGCTGCCATACAGAGGAATCAATGAGCATCCGAACGAGGAAAGGTTCGACACAAAGCAGACGGTTGCAAGAGGGGCCGTGGAGAGGGCGTTCGGGAGGTTGAAGGGGATGTGGAGGCTCGTCCTGCGGACGCACAAGACGAACCTCGACAGTCTGCCGCAGCAGTTCACGACAGTCTGCATTCTCCACAACATCCTGCTTGATGCAGGTATCGATTTCGACGAGAATTTGTTGTGGGAGGTCGACGCGAACGGGGTGAGGCGCCGAGTGGACCTGGGGATTCATCGCCCCCCGCAGCCAGTGTCGATGTTGACTTCGACGCACGAGGCTCACGCGCTCTGCAATGCGTTGGCGGAGCGAATGAAACACATGTGATCCTACCTACCGCGTGCCTGTTCGTCCCGTTCAAGTCATGTTCCGCCATCGTCGATTGACAGCGCTTGTGTCTTCCGCTTACACGCGCGATTGCTTCGGAGGGTTTGTCGTTGTGGACGGGTTCTTTTTAGGTGTTTGTTGTTGTAGTCGACGGCAGACTTCTTGTCCAGTCCGTCGAGCATTGGGAGTGACGCGGCTTCAATCTTGTTGTAGTCGCGGCAACAGTGGTCTGTTTGTTTTTTGACTCTTCATTGTTGTTGTAGCCGACGAAATGGCTTTCCCGTGCAATGTCGTGGAATCCAGG